ACATTTTATACGAGTATACATATGTTATATAAATTGTATATATGCATGTGAGCATGAAGTTCATTAATGCTTTGATAGCTTTTGAAGTTTGTGTTTCGATGCAATTGTGTATGTTATTTTAGCCTGGTTAGCCTCAGGCTTTTCCATGTAGTCAACAATTAGTATACTCCTTTTCATTAAGAGTCTTCCAACTCACAAAACACTTTGGTTTAATGCGCCAAGTCCCTGATTGCCTGTCAGCTGACCGTTTGATCCGTTAGCATGCATTTGTTCTTTTTTTTTTTAGTTTTCCACCTTTTAGCCGCACGCTTGCTTGTTTCACCTTTATTTGCCTTTTACAGCCATGCCGCCGCAATAACAAGGGCATTTTTTTCATTCTTAAGTAAATTTGGTCAATTAATGTGTGTTCCGATATTCCGTTAATTATACTAATTAGTCGCGGATTGCAATTAAAATAACACGAACATAATCCTCGTTACCACATATAGCGCATATACGCCACTGTCTGTGAGTATTTTCTTATACCTTTTATGATGATTTTATGCGTAAGAATTATAGATGAATTGGCCATAGTGAAAAATTTTATTACAGTGCACTTTTGAGTGATTGTTCAGATATGAGGGGTTCGCTATTTCAAAATTCAATCGAACTAAACTTGCTATTGAATATGATTACGCTAAAAAATAATTAAACATTGCTTCAAGAAAGGTATTAAGCTTTCGCTTTTTCTTAGTAAGCATACATATGCACCTTACTGTAAGTGTGCACGTTAGCGGTGTGTTTTTGGGGGAACCCCTCAATTCATTTTCCCTCACGTCGCTCTGATATTTTTCACTGCTTTCAAAAGAGGCGTTGCCGCATTAAATTCCCGTCGGTTTCTTTGTGGTTGAAGACTTTTCATTTACGTTTGTATGCAAATACATTTAATTACGGTCGTTAAAGTAAATATCTGTGTTCGTAAGTCATAAACACCAAAGTCTGATTTTCAATATGTTCAGGAGAGCTTTTAAAAATGTATATAAACGCAAATTGTGTAGTACAACTTTAATGGCTAGCTGCTCTTAAAAAAAATGCTTTTGGATATTACAAATATCTTACCGCTGTTAACATTAAGGCCAAGAAGTCTCCGGAAAATCCTTCATTAATTTTAACTTCCCGCGCTGCATATTCTTCAACACATTTTTCATTTTGTTAATTTGGTAAGACGGTCCTTAATTACTGTGCCAAAAATGAGCTCGAACTGTCAAACCAGTTTGTTTGCAGGATCTGTTGAAATCAGTCGACCTCAATTCCCTCTGCGCATTTTCTTTTATGGCCTCAATTGAGTCGAAACGGGTTCCACGAGTGGTACAATGACTTGAGTTTTGAAAACAAAAAAAGGCCAAATCCTTTGATGACCCTGGTTGATCGGTGATCGAGTTTTTGGTCTTCAGCGCGATGCGATGGCGCATTATCGTCCTGAAAGTTTCAGAAAGTTTTTGGTCCACAACTTCCGCAGTTTACGACTATTGTTTTTTTGCGAAAACACCTCGAAACGATAATACAATTACCGGAAGCTTTCTGATCTTAATATATAATATTGAGGGTACAATTTATTCGATCCGTTCTCATAATATGGTTCCCATCAGCAAGCTCGAAGCGATTACGGGCTTCAATGGAAAGGTTGCACATCTATCATCAATAATAGGTCGGATTCTGACAACAACATTGTTTTTTACCTTTTCGAAAGTTTGAAAATTCATATTGAGATGGTAGGCTGATAGCTCGGTTTAGGAAAATCTACTTTTCTAGAATATGCTATGTATTAAGAATAAGCTGTAAATATTTTAGAACGTAATTCGAGTGGCGACTTGTAACGGCTAAAGCGGTTTCCGGCCGAACTCCTCCTCCAATTCATGACATTGCTTCTTGATTTTTTTCCAACAAATGGAGGGACCTACAGTTTATATAAAACCGCCTCTCAAAAGTGACGTGAGAGCAGAGTCACGAACGTGATGACTGCTTGTGTGATGGCAGGATATATTACGTCTTGCCTTTGTTCACTACCAGACTCATACCCTTCGCTGCCTTGTCTAGTCTGGAGAAAGCGTAACTCACGGCGTCGTTGTTGAGGCCAATAATGTCAAAATCATCGGAGTACGCCAGAAGCTGTACACGCTTATAGAAGATTGTATCTTCTCTATTAAACCCTGCAGCTCATATTATTTTCACACGCAATAAATTAAAAAAGTCACTCGATAAGGAATCACCTTGTCTGAAACCTCGTTTGGTATCAAACGGGTCGAAGAGGTCCTGCCCGACTCTGACGAAGCTTTTAGTGTTGCTTAAGGTCAATTTACACAGCCATTAAAGTTTTGCGAGGATACCAAATTCAGACATAGGGCCGTAAAGGCAGCTCCTATTCGTGCTGTCAAAGGCTGCTTTAAAGTCGACGAAGAGGTGGTGTGTGCCGATCCCTTTTTCGCGGGTCTTTTCCAAGACTTAGCGCATGGTGAATACCTGGTCAATGGTTGACTTAGCAGGTCTAAAGCCAGACTGATAAGACCCAATACGCTTAATAGGGTCTTATATCCGATGTTAAAAAGGTTTATTCTACGTAGTTGACGCAGAATGTGGGATCGCCGTTTTTGTGGATTGGGCAAAGCACGCTTAGGTTGTTATCGTCGGGCATGCTTTCATCCGACCATATTTTGGTGAGAGGCTGTTGCGTGCACCTGATCAGTTCTTCACCCCCGTATTTAAATAGTTCGGCCGGTAATCCATCGATCCGCGCCGCTTTGTTGTTCTTTAACGGGCGATTGCAATTCGGACTTCTTCATAATCGGGTAATGTAATAACTTTTCCATCGTCATCTATTGGTGTTTCGGCTTCAACTTCTCCGGGAGATTCAATTTCACTGCCATTCAGCAGTTTTCTCTCTATAGATTCAGTATATTATGGGCATTCGTCACTAGCTCACTTCTCTGGGTCCTACAAGAGCTTGCTCTGGTCTTGAAACCTTCCGTAAGTCGCCATATCTTTTCGTAGAATTGTTGAGCGCTACCCTTGTCGGCCAACTTCTCAAGCTCTTTATATACGCGCATCTCGGCCTCTCGCTTTTTTTGTCTGCAAATGCGTCTTGCTTCCCTCTTCAGCTCTCGGTAGATATGCCACTCCGTGCATATTGTGGCCGATCACAAGGTTGCGAGGTATGCAGTCTGTTTTCTCTTCACTATGACACGGCAGCCCTCATCGTATCAGCTGTTTCTGCGATCTTTTCGAAATCCAATAATTTCGTTTGCAGTTGTACGTAGCTAGTTTGCGATGCCGTCCCACAGTTCCCTTACGACGAGTTGCTGATGAGTGCTCTCAGAGAGCAAGTGTCGTGATTGCAACTTTTCAATGTCGAACTTTCCTTAGCGTTGAAGTCGCCAAGCACAATTTTGACGTGGCGGTGGCAGGGCTTATAAGTGTTCTCGAGGCGCTCGTAAAATGCATCTTTGGTCAAGCCATCCCTCTCTTCCGTCGGGGCGGGGCTCAAATTAGGCTGGTGATAAAGAATTTCGTTTAATGCGGATTTTGGCTAGACGTTCATCCATCGGAGTGAATACCAGTACTCGGCGTTGGAATCTTTCCCACCACAAATTCGACGCCAAATATGCGCTCCTTTATATGGCCGCTGTAGTAAGTTTCACAAGGACCCACCTTCTTTCGTCCTTGTCTCGTCCATCGCATTTCTCGGCCGACGGGGATGTTGTTGTTAACTCGGTATCTTGGCCAGTAAAGTAATTAAGTAAGTAAGTGAGAATTTCAAATATAAGGCCAAGGTAGTTTACAATAAAAGGGAATTCCTTTAAAAAATACTTGTAATTCGTTTTTTCAATGTGTATTTTCGAGATCACAAAATGGATATTCCTGGAAAACTTACTTGAGACTAACTTGGCTACGAATTTACTTAACTGATTTTGCTTATTTAAGTTTCGCTTGAATAACTCAACAAAATCCGTAGCGCGTTTTAAGTTTGCTTAAAATATCAATGGATTATTCCTTTGAAGAGTTAGGGCGTAATTGTCTGACAGCTTTCACAGAGAGAAAAGCAAAAAATAAAAGTTACTTAAAGCTAAAGAGAAATCCGCCGAATGAGGAATAGGTTCGCTCAAATACTTGGTGAAAGTATTTAAAACTAGTTTAAACCTTAATCCAAGTAAATGCTTTTCCATTCTCCTTTGCCAGTTAAAATTCTTTTACGTTTCGCATTAAGTAACACATAAAAGCCCCAAAGTTAGCAGAGTAAGAGATTTTTCTGTGATTAGCAAGAAGCTTCTTTCAGCTAATTAGCAAAGAAAACATATAAAAAGAAGAAAAAAATAATTCCACAGCATGCAAAGTAAGACATGTCTTAAAAAACTGCCAAGCACTAAAGAATTTAATGACAGCAAAAAAAAAATTAGTTTCAAATTGACTCTAAGATTTATTAAAGGAATACCGTGAATTTAAAGTAGAAAAATCACAAAGAAATATATAATTTACTAGCTTGGTGAAGGAATTTTATGCTATAACTTTTAGTACGTTGAATAAGTTCTTATGGCATCAAAGCTTATGCTGCCCTGCAGTTAACTAATTCACCGAGTTCGCTCGGTATTGAGCTTTTACGACCTCTCTTCTCAGCCGTATGAACTTTGATTTGAGTTCAGATGCGAGCAACATTTAAAAAACTATATATATTTTCGAGGGTTTTACTAACGGTACATAATTTTATGAAATTTAGTAGTATCATAAACGATTGTCTGTATTCTTCCCATACAACTTTTTATCACAACTACATTATTTCAGAAGTCGCCCGCTTACATCTTGCTGTTCTATTCATTCCCAAATGACCAAGAGAACAAGAAGCATACATAGAAGCATGCTTTTTTACATACATATAAATTACGCGGCATTCGTTTCTTAACGAAAAGGAAACTGTAAATATTGTATAATGGTTAAAGCTAAACTATACGAAAAAGCGGTTATTTGCTCACCTTATAAAGGATTTCCGGCCGCACGTTATGCTTGCATTTCATCGTTGCGCTGGAGCCGCGTTCCACATACCGCGGCAGCACTAATTGCACATCCAGCTCAGATTGTCCATCTGCAGTGAGAAAAAGCGATGAGAATAACAGTAAGAAATTGTAGCATAAAACACTTTAAAGCACTGGTTGCATTTTCATATGTACATATATATATATATATATATATATATTGTTTGATATCTAGGCACCCCATTTAACCAAATACTGCAGCATTAATGCAGGTGATAACGCTAACGCAATGCAAATAGTTTAAGTGACTAAATACAAATTTACCCGAGAGAAGCGCTAAGACTGTAAATAATCCGGCAACTCAGTTGGCTTACTGCCATGGCAAATATTCATACATTTACATATGTATGTAGTTGGATCATTACTTAAGAACTCAACGTTTATTTTGTCTGCAGGCATTTCTATCTCCGGCAACAAAGGAAGTTCGTATTCAAAATCACGGAAAATGTGGCACCAAGCGCAGAGAAAGGATACGATATTTCTAGTTCGTAAGATATTCTTACTTTACTGGCGTAGACATCGCTTGCACGATTATAACCGAGTTAACAACAATGTGCCATTCGTCTCTTCTTTTTGTTTTTTGGCACCAATTGGGAATATCAAGTACAGCCAGGTACTGCTCAACCGGGTCTTTCCAACGGTGTGGAGGTTTTGCTCTTCCTCTGCTGCCACCGGCGGGTACTGTATCGAAAACTCTCAAAGCTGGAATATTCGTATCTATCCGGACCACATGACCTAGCCAGCGCTGCCGCTGTCTCTTCATTGTCGCCGTACAACTTGTACAGCTCATCGTTTCATCCGTTGCAGTATTCACCGTTACCAATACGCAAGATTTATGATCCATCTTACGCAAAATTTTTGTCTAGCAAACTCTTAACGTCGTCTAGTAATAGAACGTCTTGTCCATCGCCATCGATTGGGGTTTCGGGTTTCATTTTCACTGCCATTCAGTAGGTTGAAGAAGTGTTCCCTCCTTAAATTCAGTATACTCTGAGAATCCGTCGCTAGACCATGCCTCTCGGTTCTACATGAGTTTGCTTCGGTCTAAAAATTTCCGTAAGGGGCAGGATCTTTTCGTAGAATTTTCGACAATTACCCCTGCCGGCCAGCTTATAAAGTTTTTATACTCACGCATCTCGGCCTTTCTTTTTTCCACTGCAAATGCGTCTTGCTTACCTCATTAGCTCTCGGTGTTTATCCCATCCCGCACGTGTTTTGGTCGATCGCATGGTTGTGAGGTAGACAGTCTGTTTTCTGTCCACCTCGGACAGCAGTCCTTATCGTACTAGCTGTTTTTCGAACTTTCCGTAATCCGAAAGTTTCGTTTGCAGCTGTACGTAGGGAGTTTGTAATGCCGCTGCAACAAGATAATGGTCCGAGTCGATGTTGGGTCCTCGGAGTGTACGCACGTCAGGAACACTGAATACTTGTCTTCCATCTATCACAACACGATCGAACTGTGCTTTGTGTTTTTCAATTAGGGGAGAGCCAAGTAGCTTGATTTGTTGCTTTGTGATTAGAAGTAGTTAACTGATCAACTCAATAGGATTTGAGTGCATGTCAAAAAAAAAGCTTGCATACATAAGAATCTCGATATGAGTGCCTTATGAACTAACGAGAAAAAACTCTAGAACTGAATTTCCACTGGAGAATCGCTTACGGTGAATCGTTACAAAACCCACCTACTTCTGAAGTAGATGACGACTAGTTAGTGAAAAAGAGTGGATCATTTTACGTGACGTTCAACGAAAACCTAGCCAGCATGGCCGGCAAGGCTTTGTTGTATATTTGATGGGATTGGCAAGGAAGGAAACTCTTAATTCGGCCCTGTACTGTCAGCAATAGGAGCGTCTGAAGAAAGCAATCGCCCAACTTTAGCCAACAGTACTCTGTTTCATCGGGACAACGGCAAACCCAGCACGTCAATATTGACTTGCCAGACGCTTAGAGAGCTTGATAGGGATGTTTTTATGCACCCAACTTAGCAAAAAGTTGATAATTACCAACTCTTCCTGTTTGTGTGGAATTATTTCGCAGTTGAAATCTGAAAAAAGCATCTGAGAATCAATTGCTCCATTTTCTGGCCAATAACGACAAGGGTTGAGAGACGCATAAAGACATTACCTTCAAAATGGGAAAAATTATCCGGCAAAACGTGCTAAATGAAATGTTCAATTTATGGTAAAAATAATGGATTACTTTTTACTTTTCCTGAGTGGGCAAACCTTTTAATAACGGTTACTAAAGAGTGAAATGGGAATTCTTCTTTTTAAATATTTGAATTACAAATATATAACGGGACTTATGTATGTATGTATATGTAAACATAGATCATGTACAACGTATTATATATAATCATAATAGATTTATACATTTCGCTTTGAAATGGCTTAGAAGCAGACAATTTAATGCTTAATCCTGGACAAAGTGTTGACAAGACATTTCCCATAAGTGGATATTACACATACATACAAATTTACGCAAATATGTACACCCGAAACTGTCGAAAACACAAAAGGTTGGCCCGTCAACGCTGAATTTATATTCCTAAGCAAATATTTGTATTAAAATTAATAAGAAAAACATAAGTTGTGAGCTTGGAAGTCATCCAGCTCATACGTGTATTCTCGTGCAAATGCAGTGGTTGGTAACGAGACAGAGAAGTAGGTAAAAGTAAAAAAAAGTCGTAAAGTAATCCACTGAAATATATTTGTTAATTCACAAAAATAAAGTAAACTCGTTCCCCCCTTTCATATTAGCAGTTTCTAATGAAGTAATTGAAAAGGAGAACCAATCCCGGCATAAGTAATAGAATAAGACTATCAATCCTGCCGCGTCTATGGATGATTCTATGATAAGAGCCTTCATGCACACAAAATACAGCTAAGGGAAAAATTGGTTCTTCCTTATGAAACCCTGAAAACTTATTGGGATTTCTGTACAAAATTATACGCTCGTCCTCCAGGCATGAATAGAAAATCAAAAGGAAATGATTAAGGGGTTACATTGGTCTTGAAGGCCATTTCTCTAATTTTTTTAAAAGGTACTATATAAAGTATACAATTTATTTTGTTTACATATAAAAGTACAATATGTGGACAATATTTGATGAAAATTTGAATGAAAAACAGTGTAATTGAAGGCGTTGGAGCAGTGTCCTGAAGAAGAACGTCCACAAGAAAGTGCAATCGCGGTAGTCATGACAACTTTTTCAATTTTTATCAGAAATCAAATATCCAATTTTTTTTTTTAAAGTAGGTGAATTTTCCTTGTCCCTGAACGAAGAAAAATTAAAAATATTATAAATTGGATTTTTTGCAGCGTTTTTTACAAAAAAACGTAAAAATTAGGCCAGATATTGGCTTGTAAAATAAGTGGAAATCAAAGATAAAATAAATCCTTCGTTCTTGGACTACAAAAACATGCTTAAAAGAAGTATGGAAAATTTGAACTCGATCGCTTCAATAGTCGTTGAGAAATTTTGACTACCGATTTCGATAAAGTGGTTTTAGGAAAGACGCGTTTAAAGTTTCGCCATCAGTCAAGCCATGACACAGACGGCGAGTTATAAAACTCTCTAATTTCTGGAGTTTCGTCTCGATCGGCTTGAAACTTGGGGAAAATACTCCTGATACTTTATACTTATATACGAAAAAAATTCTTTAAAGTTTCAATACCAATGTAACCCCTTAAGCTTTCTCAAATACATTCGCCGACTTTTTTTATTATCAAAAATCTATTGGCCTTTTAAAACTAGATTCGACAAGGGAATTTTCTGAGCAACCTGGTCATCAGAGATAGGTAAGATATTTTATTAATCGACTTTAAATAATTTTCCGTTTTTATCTCTTTTTAAGATACTTTGTTGATTTTGAAGGAAATTGGGCAAAAATAAAAATTTTTTTGGATGTTGATGGTAGCTTTTCAAACTCGGTCTGGACTTGCCACTTATATTATTATTTATTATATTTTGATAAGTTATTAGATTGTGTTAATATTTAAAAATTTGTTATTTTTAGAATAATGTAATTTATTGCAGTGAAAAAGCAATATATAATATAATAAAAAACTGTTTAAAGTTGATTGTCGCGCAAGCAACACCTTTTCGTAGGATCGCATACAAGTCTGGGACGGGACATAAGCAGTGTTTCCATTTTGGCCTCTTTTTTTAACATTTTTCCAGAACCAATTTCTATTTATACTTGTAAGCGTATGGCTTATACAGAGCCGAAAGTGTGAGTAAATGGGAGTAGAGTAAATGAAGGTACTGAATACAAGCGGTGAAACTTATATTTTTCGTATATTGTTTAATGAATGAATAAAGTGAATTAACTGTATAAATGACAGAATTGTTGAATATAAATTTTTGTGTGTATCTACTTATTTGGCGGCTAACCTGACAAATTTTTTATGTACATGAATGGCTATTTTATCATAAGTCTGAAGTTTGTAAGTACCAGAAGGAAAAGATATTTATTTATCGAAATTTATACCAATACGATCAGAATGACAAGTTGAGTTGATTTAGCCATGTCTGTATGTTCGCCTGCTTGCACCTAAACTAGTCTCTTAGCTTTTGAGATATTTGCAAAAATAAAACTTGTTACACAGATGCACTAAGGCATGTAAACGATCATTTGGTGGAACTGAACCATTATAGCAAACATACGACTGATTTTTCAGATTTAAGGTTTTGGGTCATAAAGTTGCCAAAAAAAAGCATCTAAGACTGTGAAATTTGGAATTCTGCTCGCGTATGATGAATTACCCAAGCTGCTAAACATTTTCGAATTCAGACCAGCATGGCATATAAAATCGACTTGTTCAGCTATAAGGCTTTGGTCAAAACTCCTTCAAAAAATCCTTTAAGCGCCTGAGGTTTGATATTCTACACAAACGAAATACCATAAACTTGATATGGTAATGGAAGGTATCAAGTCTTCGACAGAGACACAGACAGCTCTTCTTTCCTGTTTCAGTTTTCAGCTTGGTTTAGATTTAGAAAAGTTGAGATATACAGATGTACTCTGTAACTACATGTCTATGCTCAAAATTATGCCATTATCAAATATAAATTTCTATCTTGTATGCGAAATGCTTGTTTCGCAGGTTCGAATTAAGAGTTTGGTCGTACGCGAACAGCTCATAGTGGCCGTCAATCTTCGCTTTGAGACGATTAGTGTCATTGCCCGTCGCCAGGGTCAATTTCATTTGTCGTTGCTGTACGGGATTCTTTTTTCGTCAACTCTCAGCATCTGCTTCAGAATTGTGCCGATTTCGTTATGATTCAGTAGCGGTTTGCAGATGGAAATTCGATCCATGAAGTTTTCTCTCGTTAAGTAATGTGGCACTTATACATCGAGATTCAAGTGATTCCAATGTTTAATGAAATTTTTGGCCCCCCGGTACTTGAAACGATGCTTGCATGACGATCGACTTGAGGGATTTTATTATTTTATCGCCATTTTTGGCAATTGGCCTACCTCAATTGAGCATCGATGACAGCAAAATTATCGGTACGAAAACGATGAAACCAAAATTGTGCAGGTTTGATTATTACAATTCAAGACCGTAAATACTATTCCCTTTTTTGCTGGCTGACTTGCGACTTCACCTTTTTTGAAGAAAATTGTAGAATTGAGGGTATATTCACTTTGCCGGTGCTTGTTTTTGACAGCGCTCAAGCATTTCTGAATTGATTGCTTTACACATTTTCCCCATATTGTTTTTGAGTAAAGAATATCATCTTTCAAGCACCGTCTGGGGTTATCCAATCGCACAAGAGACACAGATCACTAAAGGCATATATTGCAAAATTAAGGGATTTTTCTTTACTAGATTAATATTAGTGTCAAATTTTTGCAGAGAATCGTTAGAGTGTTCAAATCAGATACATTTGGTTGAACATGAACACGAAAAGCTTTTCACACTTCAA